TGCGGCACGCCCGGGCCCGTGGGTGCCCGCGCGCGCTTGGCACCGGACGCCGGTAGCGCGCGTGCACAAGTGCCGCTGCCCGATGTGGCGGTGCCGGGTGCCTGGGATGCGGCTTCCCCTCCGGGGTCTCGGGAAGGACCCCGCGGGGTCTCTGGGCCGTTCCTCGTGGCTCTGGCCCACGTCCCCCCGCAGCCGCGTCCCCCCCCAGCTGACGGCGCGGCGCCCGGTGCCGTGCCGGCCCTGCCAGAAGCCCCCTCCGCCCAGCTGTGCACGGCGCCGGGGTGTGCGGAGGCAAGGCCTGTGCTCGGGACGAGCAGGGAGCGGGATCGTCCCCACCCCAGAGCCATCTCCGCGGGGCTGTGTCCTGCCGGTCCGGGGGCTGTGGGAGGACGACCGTGCCCTGGCAGAGGTGGGAAAGCTGCAGCCCCTCGGTGAAGGAGCTGGCCCCTGCCGCAGCTGGCTCTGCTCTACCGTGCCGTCTGCGTCCCACAGGAGAGGTCTTGGCTTCCAGCCGCGTCGGAGGACGTGTCCCGCTCTGTCCTGAGGCTGGGGAGGAGATGGAGCCTTGGCCTTATCCCTGCCACCCCTTCCCCAGGTGTGGGGGCCTTCCCACCCTGCAGCTTTCACATCTCTGACAGCAGCTGCTGAGCGAGGTCAAGCTCAGAGCAGGCGCTGTGAGCCACAGCCTGTGACCACAGCCCACAGGGTGCCCTGGGAGGTGGGTGTCCAGGGCCATCACCCCCGGGACAGCATGGTCCTTGCCCCACATACCGTCACAGTTACGCAAGTGCCGCAGGGAACAAACGGCTGCAGTGGAAGTTCTCTGTAGACGTCTAAAATGATGACCTGACGCATAACACACCCCAAGGACTGGCCTGTTAAGTAGGGGGTGTAGCTTGTCAAGAAAGAGCAAACACAGAAGAGGAAGGTGTTGCTGGGCATACCCTAGATATGGCCTGGCTCTGACCTCCAGAAGGCAGGTCACCTGCGAAATGAGAGGAAATGAAAATGAAGCTTGCCACAGGGTCAGGAGTGTCCTGGCCCCCTCCCTGGAAGGACCCTGCTGCGCGTCCCCCCACAACCAGGCATCCTCTGGGGCTGCCTGCAGCAGGGCATGGCTGCCCGCACGGGCTTGAGCTACTGAAGGCTTTGGGCCAGGGAGTGCAGGAAACTCGAGGGGAGGCTCTCACAGACCTTGCTCTAGATAAAAGAGAGGAAGCGCTCAAGGGTGTCAGAGTGGAGAGCAAGTTCAATGTGCCTTTCAGAGAAAATTTAAGGAATTCAGGGAGCTTGAGATCAGGTCCCACAAAATGCATTCAGAAAACCTGGCAGGGCTTTAATGAAGCAATAGGGCACAACAGAAAGCATCCCAGCACTGGGGGAAGGGGGCTCATAGTTCAGATAATGACCTGAAACTTCAGAAGGAAGGGCATAAAAGTAGAAACTAGATGAAAAAATTAGGAGGAACAGAAAAAAAACCAAAAAAACCCCCAAAAATCAGGGAAGCCAAAGTATGAGACAAATTTTTACTAGCAAGAAACATGAAGGAATGCAAGAAAACCTTCAAAAAGGAAGGTGTCAGTAAGAGGATGCTGAGCAGCCCATGTGGCCCACTGTCCCACTGAGACTGGGAGGGACAGCAGAAGGTGACAGGACTCAAGTGCTCAATGGCTTCTTCCCCTCAGCCTGCACTGAGGAGGGTGGCTGGGATCACATAATTAACACCATGACTAAGATGGGTGGCAGAGGTGTATGCTCATGCTAGATAAGGGAAAATGTCATCAGATTGGCTGGACTGAAGGTAAGTGAGGGTAATATTGACAACTGGTAGAGGATGGATGAGGTTTCAGAAAACAGGAAAAGGAGTGACACAGTGCCTGTCTTTGATAGGAGAAAAAGGAAGTGAAGAATTAGAGGCCACTTAGCTCAACTTCAAAGTCCAAGAAAACCGTGGAACAAATAGCCAGGTGCTCCCAGAGACAACAGGGAAGGGAAAGAATCACAGCAGACACACCTGTGTATGCACAGCCCTGCCTTCCTTTCTTCTCTGACAGTCTTCATGGAGAGAGTAATGTCATCGCCACGTCTCTACCTCTAACCATGCCATGTTCCTGGGCATTGCAGCCACTCCAAGGGCACTGGGCTGCTCCCAGCGCTGCCCCTGCCATGGCTGGCCTCTCTGGTCTGTCCCAACAGCCTTGTCCAGGGCCAGGCTTGAACTCAGCATTCCCCAGCAGCAAAACTCAGCAGGGGCTTGTGCAGGCCGTGAGGAGAAGAGCAAGCATGAGCACAGCCTGTGCCCAGCAAGCCCCAGCAGTTGCTCCCTGCACATGAATAATCCAACCTGGTAGCACCAAGCTGGCTTTCCCACAGCATCATTGTCTGTCCTGCACCCAGCACACAGTTTTTATTGCTGTGTGTGAGTCTGGTTATGAGTTTTTATTGATGTTACGAGTCTGGTTTTATTGCTCTGTGTGAGTCGGGTTATGAGACCCCTGTTCAGGGGCTGAGGCTTTAAGCGCTCTGGGCTCTCCTTGCTTCACTCAGCCTCCTCCATGCCATACTGCTGAGCTTTGGGCAGACCTCGTTAGCCCACAGTGCACTCTTGATGGCCTCTTCCCTGCCAGGTCACTGTCGGTCAGTCACTCTCACGCTCCTTGCTGCTGTGATGGCCCAGACACCATGACACTGCAAAGGGAAGAGGGAGATGCCACAGATCCTGATTTTCTAGGGCTCTGATGCCCACTTCTCCTGTGCAGGTCCATGCCTGTGGGTTAGATGAAATGGCTGCAAGTGGTGACAGCTGCTGGGAGGGCACTTGGCAGTGCCTCACTGCAGGAGGAGTGCACCTCTGCTGTCTCCTGGCTCCATCCCTCACACTTGTGTGGTGACAGTGTCATGTACTTGCTCTCTGGGTTATGATGTCTTTTGGCTGGGGAAGGCTGCAGGTATGCTGCAGAACACAGGTCCACCTTACAATGAGACTAACAAACAGGAAAAGCAGTCAGAAAAAGAGCAGAGCAGTTCAGTGATATCAAACACAGGGTCCTGCATGCAGGCAGGTACCAGTGACTGTGCAGCTGCAGGATAGGGAACTAATGACGTGGCAGCACTTCTGCAAACCAGAACCTGTGGGATGGAGAGGATCACGAGCCAAACATGTGTCAGCAGCTCAGAGCAGTGTGACACAAGGCAAACAGCAGCCTGACACATGCAAGCAGGTGAGTCACGTGCAAGGCACATGAAACAGTCCTGATCTCACTAACCTGGTGAGCCAGAGGGGCATCACACCCCGGGCCCGGCATGAGGGTACCAGCGGGGAAGGTGCCAGCTCAGTGATGAATACAAGGGGATAATGACACCCAACCTCCGGGGAACAGCTCCGGGGCCTGGGGCTGTTGGGTCCCGGGAAGCTGCAAAGGCGGGAGAAATAACTGCCCTCGGCCTGCACCGGGAGAACGCCCGCAGCTGGGGACGCCGGGGGACACGGTGGGGGGGGCTGGCGTGGATACCAGGCTGGGCCCCGGTGCCAGCGACCCGCGGCGGCCGCAGCCCGGTCGTGCAGCGCCG